CATATAAACTCACTAGTAGAGGGAATGAAATTCTCATTTGAATCGAAAAATGAACGAAAAGAATTAACCATGGTGTTAGATTGTAAAATAAAACGATTAGAGGAAGGTAAACTGGACACTAGCGTTTTCAAAAAGCCAACGCATTCCGCTAATAGATATTTAGACTTTAATTCATCGCATCCGTTATCTGTCTGTGAAGGCAGGCTTAGTTAGGTGTCTAACAAATCGAACAATAGCACTCTGAATTACAGTAAAAAAAACCTAGTTGATGAAATGAAACAGAAAGAAGAGGCGTTGGTATCAAATAACTATCCTACAAAATTCATTAGAAAGATGAGAAAAGGTCAAAATAAAAATGATGGTGAAACTAATGATGATAACATAAATAAGAGAGAATATAGGGCATCTACAGTTTTACCACATAAGGAGGGGACATCCGAGACCCTACGGAGGATTCTTAGTAAGGCAGGAATTAGAGTGGCATTTAAACCTACAAACTCACTCAGGTTCTGTAGGCTAACGGACCCTGTCGGTGGACCCGATTAAACAAAATAATATAATTTACAAAACACCATGCAATGACTGTAAGTAAGGTCAACTACATAGGTTAAACAAGTAGATCAGGAGTAGTGAGATTATCAGAAGATAAGAATTTAGCGAAGGTTAGAATGACTGACCTCACGAAGATAAGTAATTTAGAAAAATACTCAGCAATAGCACTGCATGCATTAAAATTCTAAAAAGTAGTATGGGAAGATATATAGAGAGAAAGATTGGTTACTGAATCCTGGTTCATTGAGTCGACACACCCAGCACATGCAACAGAAGTGACTCATGACTCATACCGGAAACATGGAGAATACTACTACGAATCAAGTCAAGCGATGCAAAATAATGGAATTATATAAACGAAGTTGGTAAGTTATGTGAGTAACTTAATATGACTATGAGCCATAAATTGTGCTCGAAACGTTGTCATCAATAAATATTACTGTATAACACTGTGAGACTTTATCAAAATAAATTTTACCCGTAATGGAATTATACTATACCACAGTGAACAAGTTCTATTCTTATATCAATAGTCACATGTTTGTTTTAAAAGTTTTAAAGGATAAATTGGTTCTTAATTCTCAAAATATTCCTGAGATAAGCTGCATGAAATATTTTCCTCAAAACAACTGTTATCATACGTCAAAGTATCAAGATATTCTGATCACATTGTTATCAACGAAAACACATCTTTCTTCGATGCAGGATAGAAATTTAGTCTTGATACACTGTCTACTCGATAATCAGTTCATGGATTTCACTGGGTGATTATTTTCTATAATAACCTTTGTTAAAGCTCTGTTCCTATCTTCAAGAATTTCAGCTGTGTATGTTCGTGGAATCACACTGAATAAGCACCTCACCATGGGCTGGACAGGGAACTTATCTTTCATTTGATTATAGGGAAATTAGTCTTTCAGACATCTGGAAAACTATAGAAAGTTCGAGGAAAGAATATTCTTTTCAATCACTTCCACGTACGGCTCCACAACTATATATAAATATATTATTTTTCAAAGTAATATTGGGTCGTTAGGAACCATGGGATTATAGTTCAAGAAGGATGGAAACAGTAGACTTTATATTCGAAGGACTTTTAAGATGGAACATGAATGTTAGCATTTCTACACCTCTTATCAAATGTCTTCTTTTTAGATGAACAATGAGTGGTCATCTTCAATTTAACAAGAGATCCTGCAAACATATTAATGATGCGGTTATGGGTTCCATTTCTAGCTGATAATCTCCTTACAAAATTAGAGAATGGACCTTCGAAAGATGTAATCGGTGATTTAGAATTCTATTGTCCTTACATGGATGACACATTTTTGATTATGAAAAATGAGGATGAAGTAAAGAACATCCTTGCTGACAAATTCAACGATATTCATCTTGCAATAAATTTTAACATCGAGAAAGAAAGGGGCTCTAGTATTTCATTTTTAGACGGCCTTATGACCAGAAAAGAGGACGGTACAATAAGAAGAGCTGTATACAGGAAACCTACATCAACTGGTCAGTATGCTCATTTTGTTGGCTTTGTTCCTTTGAAATACAAACGCAGTCTAATAAGGTGCTTTGTCCACAAAGCAAAAACAATCTGCTGTGATGAATACCTTAATGAATAGCTTAATGCTATTAAACATTTACTGAGTGAGAACTTTTACCCAAAAAAAATTCATTCATAAGAATATAAATCAAAAGTCAAGGTAAGCCAAAGTACAACAAAGTACAAAGTACAACTTCAGTTCCTCAGGGATAACATCAGTAAAATATTAACACAACGCCTTAGGAATGCGGTAAAAGGAATATCCAGTGACACTGTATCTTCTCAACCTCTCCTGTTTTACTCCTAAGAGTTAAAGAAATATTGCTTAATCTTGTCTCTTCTATGTATCCATATCAATGAATGACTGCCCCTTTGGAGCAAGTTATCTAGGGCATGTTTATCGTCAGGTTTCCTAACAACATTCTGTGTGGTTAAGCATGGGACAAATAGGGTCCTTTCATAGCTTTGTGTGCTCAATTTAGTATTGCTTTCTTAAGCGTATGTTAACCTACACATCGTTTTTGAACTGCAATTCCACGTAACTTAACAACTCGATATAATTTCAGTAAATGAAATATCCCCATATTGAAATCAAAACAAGATTTTGAGCGAACAATTGTTTTCGATAACTTTTTCTTCAGGCTCTACAGTTATAAATCCATGAATAATAGAGTACATATAGCCAATAAAGGCAAATGAAAATAATATCAGAAACTGTATTGGGGTGCATGTGTAAGTTGAGATGATAGATGAGATAGACGGTACCTTAAAGCGTAACATCTATAGGAAAGCGACGTGGAATGGACAATACACTCACTTCCATAGCTTCATACCTATACAATATAAGCGCAACCTAATATTTTGTCTTAGTCATAGAATTAGGCGCATATGTACCGACGACTGCATTGATGATGAAATAAAAAATCTCACAAACACCTTCTCCACACAGTTTATTTCACCTCATTGTTACCCTTAATTTTGTCAACCTTTGTGATTTTACACTAAGCCTACCAACTCTGTAACATCTTATTACAATTTACAATTTAGCCTCTTTATCTTATCATTAAACATTATCGGTCAGCCCTCACATTCAGTGTCCCCTTTGTTAATGTGTGTTTGTATGTATTTTGTGGTTATTGCATTTCTCTGACCCCAATGACACTTGTATTCTGTTGACTATAAAACAGCACTATATCACCTAATTGTTCATTCACACTTCATCACATCGATGAATAAGGATTCCGTAATCAACCTCTCTCCACCTACCTATATTACTCTTTAGAATTTCAACCCTATCCCACCTTATTTGTTGGTTGTTTGTTTATGCGTGAAGTGCAATCGCTGAGTTTTTTTCTAAATTACTTATCTTCTCTGGGTCAACTATTCTTCCCTTAGCTAAATTCTTATGTTCTGATAATCTGACTATCCCTGACCTACTAGTCTGACCTATGTGGTTGACTTAACTCACAGTCATTGCAAGGTATTTTGTAAATTATATTATTTTGTTTAATTGGGTTCACCGGGTCTTTCAACCTACAAAGCTTGTCTCTGAGTGAGTTTGTGGGTTTGAATGCCACTCTAATTCCTGCTTTATTTAGAATCCTACGTAGGGACTCAGATGTCCCCTCCTTATATGCTATAACAGTAGATGACTTATATTCTCTCTTTATGTTATTACTAGTAGTTACACAATTATTTTTATTTTGTTTTTGGCCTTTACTGATCTTCTTAATGAATTTTATGGGATAGTTATTCAACACCAATGCTTCTTCTATCTGTTTTATTTCGTCATTCAGGTCCTTTTTTGTGCTACTTAGTGCTATTGCTCGGTTTGTCAGACAATTCACTAAGTCTGCCTTAACAGTTAAAGGATGAGACGAATTAAAGTCTAAATATCTATTAGAATGCGTTGGTTTTCTATAAACGCCAGTGTGTAGTTTGCCTTCTTCTATTCGTATTATCTTACATTCTAACATAGTTAATTCTCCTTGTTCATTTTCTGATTCAAATGTGAATTTTATTCCTTCTACTTGTGATTTATTTGTGTTTATATGAGGCCATTATATCCTGAATAAAAAGACCTATAAGGCCTGTCTATGTGATGATGACTTGACTTAATTCGATCAAATGTACCGTCGTGATCCAGATAACTTTGAGATTGATTGCTGATCAAATGAATTGTAATTGTATGGGTGAATTCATCATAAACCTGTGAGAAAGCTGGAATTTTACTTATTCAGGTTGAAGTGTTGTCAACGACAATGAGTTGAAGATATTCCAAAATCTAACAAACACTAGATTATCCCACTGCTTTCATTTACAGCAACTGAAGGATTTAGAAATCTTGATAAAATGACCCGTATCCACAAGGTGGGTGTTTGGTAATTGCACTTTGTAAATATCTGCTTCCTTTTAAGCATAAGTTTCTTGGAATGTGCTCTGAAAACCGGATAGAAGCCCTTCTTTCTCTCCTTCCAATGTACTTGCAGTGTGTACATGCATCTGGCACCTTCTTGAGTTGCCATGTTGACCTACAAGCTAACAGTGTTTATTGCATTATTCTGCTTTCTGTCTTCTCTCACCCCCATAGCAACCCTTTTTTTTCATAGCTTGAAAGCATATAAATTGGTGGTGACTTAAACTGAAAATTGTAATACTTATATTACGGATGCGTTCATCTTATAATGGTTTCTCTATTACCTTTCAAAAAAATTGAAGTATGAAATGTCATTATTTATAACCCTTGCAATTTCAGGTAGTTTGCAGCTGATGAGAACCTGTGAAATAGAGTGATGATACCATCTTATACTGCGAATCTGGTCTTTCTCTGTCGGAACATCACGTTTCATTAACTATATCTACTAATTTACGTATGTACTGTTTTACCTTTTTTTTATAGATCCATGACATTTGTGGATTTTTGTGAATCTCAAACCAGCTGAAGCATCTACCACACATAACTGAGATCCGTTAATTCCACCTTAAATGTTAAGAAAAGCTATCGATTCAATGTTGATTTTACTACGTTTCGATGAAAGAAAAGACTATTGCAGCTCAACATCACAAAATTGGCTATGGAATCCTTCTGATGTACACGCTGTACCTCCTGCTTCTGCTAATGATGCTGTTCATTTCACTAGTAAAGACAATGTTGATAAAAGTCAGTTTCATGAAATGATTGGAAACAGTGTTTCGAAGATAACAACTCCATTATTAAATGATTTTAATGATAACCTGTCGGGTGATAAAGATTACAAGGAGATTTCTATGAAGACAACTCGTGCAAAATCAATACCGCTTCGTAATTCAGGGATGAATAGTACTCATAATGCATTGAAAAATGATAGTAACAATAGGTATAGTAGAAGAAGGCTAGGCAGAAATCAATTTATGCATGTACGTTTGCATAGTTATGATGAAAGTGTTAATAAAATGCAGTCGAGTGAATTGACTTATTGTGAAGAGAATGAATTTGGTACAGATGTAACATATTTGGCTTTAAGTGAATTTACTAATTCAGCTGATCAATTGAACAGTTTTATAAAGACGGTGGAAACTCCAACGACACTAACTCCTATCACTGGTACTATCACTGTGCCTCCCATAGCCACAGAAGTAAATCGAAAAGACTGTTCCAAATCCCTCTATTTACCTCGACTGTTGCCTCCACCTCCATCAGCAACACAAATGAAAATGACACCACAGGATCATCTAAAACCACCGATAACAACAGTGTTATCACCAACATCTTCAGCAAGACAACATACATATAACAATAACAACAATAATAATAATAACTTTAAAAGTACACCAACAGAATTAGACAATCCTCGATTTTCAGTTAATTTCAATGACACATTGTATGAGGAGCTAATATGTGGGCAGTTAAAACAGTCTTCACCACCTCACTACAATTATCATCAAGAAAATAACAGAGATCAACATGTGAAAATACAAAGTTACCAAGATTCGGATCTTATATTATTCCCGGAATTGAATGTCATTGGTCGTGATGATACGCCTAGTCATAAGACAAACCTACAGGGGAATTCCAACTGCTTTAACAAACTTGATCAAGTTAGTTAAATATTTTTTGTGTGTGGTGTACATTTCATCTGTAAATAGTCTCTGATATTATGTATGTGCTGGTTACACGTTGATTATGTTCGTGGTTTTCGACTGGATGATTGTCTAGTGAATAATTTGAAGACTTCACTTCCATTCTATCTGTTCTCAGAGATATTTTATACTTCTGAAATCTGCGGAACGTTTCCCACTATTGCATTACTTCCATGCTTAGTTATGTTTTCACTGAAAAACTTGATGCCTAAAACTTCCATGCATCGTCGAAGCGAGCAGTGCTCATGCTCCTAGAAAAGTATAAGTTGGAGTCTTCTCTTCAAATATTTAAAGCAGTTATTATTATTGTTTCCTTTGATTCCTAGACGAACATAGGGCTTCAACCGTGCGTCTCCATTGCGTTCGGTCCTCTGCTAGACTCTTCACCTGGCTCCAAGTCTGCCCACATTCTTTCATCTCCTCTTCACATGACCTCCTCCAAGTCACCCTTGCACTGACGACCAACTCGCCGATTCCCTTTCGCGTTCCACTCGATCAATGGCTTGTCCAGTGATGTCACTTGATGGTTTCCTCAGAGTATGGCCAATCCATCTCCATTTCTTCCTGCCTATTTGTTTCACAATCGGTTCCTGCTGAGTTGGTTCGCTCCCAGAGATCCCTCTCTGTTGCTGATCTTTTCTGGCTGGCCATCTGATCTTGAGTATTGAGCAAAGACAACTGTTAATGAAGGTCTTTAGTTTGTTTGAGATGCTCTTTATGATGCGCCAAGTCTCTGATCCGTATAGTAGCGCTGACTCCACATTGGAGTTGACAATCCGGATCTTATTTTTGATGCTGAGTGCTGTTGACTTCCACACAGACTTGAAAGTAGTGAAAAAACAGTTAGTTCCTTTTATAAATTTGGATTGTGTTATGAGAGGACGGAGATTATCTGAAAAATGTGATGTATTTGCACTATACATTTCGAACAATCTGTTTTCATCAAATTACCATACAGTGGAGAAATAAACAGTAGGATTTTGAGACAAAGGTTAAATTCGGTCATCCGTAGAACCTATTATGCAGCACGGCTTGTAATAATAAAAAAACCCAAAAATGTGCTCCACTACAAATCTCAAAAGTGCACGTCTCACATTATTTACCAATTTTCGTGTGCGTGTGTGTGTGGACACATGCTAAGGAGGAGCAATCGTACTTTGCATGTGAGGGTGGGAGAGTATATCCCGAAATGGTTAGAAAAACAAATGAATTGTGAAAAACCAATAGACGCAGGTGGCAGTCTACCGACTTTGTCTATGGCCAAACATCTAATCGAGATTGATGTTAACACAGTCTTTAAGGTCATCTATAAAAATGATCAAGAGCATTTATTTAGATACGCTGAGGCTATAGCTATTCATAAACTCAAGCACCCCCTGTGTATTCAAAAACAGTTTATTATAACTCTTAACCTACCTTGGTAATCCTTATTTGCTTGGATTACCAAACGTTGTGTTAGCCGGCTGTTCTCTAACTAATGTCAGTTTGTGATGAAATCCCCCATCAAATCAAACAAAATCCCTACAAAACCAATACTTGAAAATTCTAAAAACGTTTTTTTCCTCACTTTGTTTTATTTAACTGCCCTTATTTTTTCATATACATCGACTTGACAAGTAAATGTGTGATCAGATTGTTCGAAATGTATAAGGCAAATACATCACATTTTTCAGATAATCTCCGTCTTCTAGTAACGCTATCCAAAGTATAAGTTGGTTTTTTATATTCTCTAAATTTCGCATAACTATGGGGTTATATTTTACGGAATTAGGTTGCAAGCCAAGTGCCCAACATTCCCTTCTTTTTTGGGGAAGACTGATTACTGAAAAAGGAATATTCTTTTCGATAACTTCATCATCAGGTTCTACGATTATGCATCCAGAATAATGAAGGAATGATTGTTATTGATAACATTCATGTTTTAATAACATCGAATCAATAATATCAATAGATTACAGTTCGGTGGGATCAACACAACACTACACTGAATATCGGAAAAATCAGGAAAAATCATAATAATACAAATTCATGAATTTAAAGTCTCCACTGAAGGCCTGCCAGGGAGGTAGTTTAGGCTGGACCTGTTTCTTCTACAAACAGAGCATCCGTTGTTTAGGCGGATCGCGATAGCCACTGCTGTTTCCAGTCTTCAGAAACTGGATGCGTTTGGAAATTTATTTGGCACCTGATAAATTACGATGGAGAAGGATTCCATGGTGCTAGCCAGCTTTGTGGCCGGTTAAGGCCAGGTACTGTAATATAAAACTGTTTTTATTTTTCACTATACCTTTATTTAACCACACTAGTAGATATTAGCCAGTGAGCACAAAAAATCAGGTTCCTAGAGCGACGAACTTAAATCCTTTTGATTATTATGGATATATATAACTGTAGAACCTGATGAAGATATTATCGAAAAAAATTCTTTATTCAGCAATCATTTATTGCCAGTAATCACCATCACAGTGCACATTGATTTGATGATATTAGATGGTTGCAGGCAATTGGCAGTAAGCCCGACCTGTCCTATGTTTCGTTTTAGTTGGTACTCACTCGTCAACAAGGCGTATCTCCAACCTCGAAAGAACTAATGTCCCTTGTGAGACTCAAACCCGCGTCATCCAATGCTGAAGTCAAAGACATTATCAATGAGCTATTTGGGCTCGCGATTGACCTCCTGTAGGACTGTATTGGATACTTTGACTGAACACTAATTAGAAACTAGTGTGATGTGTCTAGTCTTACTGATCGAATTAAGCCTGCACCAAACAAAGGACTAGACACATCACACTAGTTACCAGTGTCCAATCAAAGAATAAAATACAGTCCTACAGTAGTTCAATCGGGAGCCAAAATAGCTCCTCAGTGGTAATGTCTGTGACTGCAGCACTGGGTGATGCGGGCTCAAATCTCAGAAGGCAGGACATGAGTTCCTTCAAGCTGGTTGCAGATACATCTGGCTGAATAGTGAGTGCCAACTAGTACGAAACCTAGGTCAGGTGAGACTTCCTGCCGATTGCCTTCAGCCATCTAATATTATCAAAGCTGATGATCCCAGACAAATGAATAATCTTAAGATGCTATACACACTAGCAAAAGGAATCAAACTGAGAATCAACAAAATTGAAGATTTATTCGGATATCTATTTGCCGCATCGGCGATACCTCCCACAGTGTTAACCATATAGCGATTTCTTTAGTTACTATGAATAAATGCAAATATATTGCAATCGGTGTCTGGCCTAATGTGTTAAGTAAAATTAGGCGAAGAAAATAATTCATGTTAATAATTTTATACAGAATTAATTAATCAATTAATCTACCGATGATCTAAGTAATTTATCATGAGGATCCTACTGTGCCATCTGTGGTATTCTAGACTCATGATTTTATAGTCCATAGCGATGAAATGAACATTTCTGAATGAGGAGAGGGAAGAATTTCGATCACAAATGAGTTTCAGTGAAATAACTGTCACCACTATTCCACAAAGTTTGAAAGGAAGAATAGGTACCCAATGTCAGACTACCAAAGAAGGGAGACTTAGGCCACTGCAAGAACTGGCGTGGAATCATGATCTTGTTCACGCCGAGCAAAATACTAAGTCGTGTCACTTTGGAGGAAACATAAGAAGCACTGGAAGTTGAACACTGCCCACTAGAACAAGCTGTATTCGGTGAAAGAAACCCAAGTGCGGATCAAATTGCAACTCTACGTATCATCATTGAACAAAGCATAGAATTGCAGACAAATCTCCGCCTCAGCCTCATCGACTTTGGAAAAGCTTTCGATAGAGCTGAGCAAGAAGTGACTTTAAAACTGCTTCAATAGTATGGATTGCCACAAGTCCTTACAAACCTCATTAAAACAGTCATATGACAATGACACGTGTCAAGTGATCCATAACGGAAAACTCGGAGAGGCCTTTGGAATGAATACAGGAGTAATACAATGCTACCCAATATCACCAACGATATTATCAACTTTGGTGGACTGCATTATGCGGAATACTGTGCGTCGGGAATGAGGAGACAGGAACAATGTGAACCAATAAGAAGGCCCTAGAAGATCTGGATTTCTTGGACGATTTATGTCTGTCATCATACGAACTCCATGACTTACAGGTGAAAACCAAAAATCTGGCAGAAGTTGGCAGAGAAGGCAGGGCTTCAGGTAAAATACGAAAAGATGGAGGTGATGAAGATTAACAACTTACAGTAACAATAAGCAGCACCAATCACCATCATCGAGAGAGATTTGACCGTAAGAGAAATTTCATAGAGGTTACTTCCTTCACTTATCTAGGCAGCATTGTTTCAACCATAGGAAGTCAGATCAGGTGATGTTTGGGGATCTTATATACTCAATGGCATAAAGAAGAAAATTCAGACTTTTAACACCAATATTGGATCAGTCGGTTCTCTTATGTGGGTCAGAAACATGTTCGGCGCGTCATAAAAAGCATTCCCAACAGGCTAGAGACTTTTTTCAGCAGTTGCCTTTGCTTTCTTTATATTGAAGATCAAATGGCCAGAAAGAACCAGCCGCAAGAAGCTCTGAGGACAAACCAACCAAGAACCTATTGCTCGACAAATATGTGAAAGAAAATGGAGGCAGATCGGATACACACTGGGGAGACCGTCAGGTGACATCACGCGCCCGACCATTGCTCAAATGAAACGAGAATGGGAAACAACGACGTAGGCTTTGTTTCAGGGGGTGACATGGAAAAGATCGTGTGAGGAGGCGATGAAAGACTATAGGCAATCTTTGGATCAGCTGAAGGGGACCACAGAGATGTAAACAAAACAAGGGAACAATCGTGAATAATAAACCATTGGTCAAATACCAACTAATAGAATATGTGTACTGAAAATCTTCTGAAGACTTACTGCGACGAAATAGAATAACTTTGCAGATGACGCTCAGATTGTCACTGAATGCTCTTCACATGGATC